TTAGGCTGCTGGTTAAAATTTGTTAATTTCATCTAATTTTATGCGATGAGTTGGTGCGAGATGTCTAATTATTTATCACACCCCTACACATCACCACCTTAAAAAAAACAACCAAACCAATATAGGCCAACAAATAAAATTTAATTACATTAAAAAAAAAAACAAATACAACCCAACAAATAGAAGAAAAACAAAACAACTCAGCTTATGTGGTTTAATAAGGTGAGTGAGTTGGGTTGGACTAGTTGAGTGCTAAAATTTTTTATCACCCAATCAATCCAACCCAACTCACTCACGCTATCAAACTATACAAGTTCAGTTAGTGCGTGATGTCTAGTTTTGCAGTATACTTCTTCACAGAACCATTTTTGCAAAAAGAAAAGAAAGGCAAAATTTTTTATTTTTTTATTTTTTTTTTAAAAAAGACCAGACTAACACATCCACAAAAAATAAATAAATAAATAAATTAAAATGGTTTTCGCGGCCTCAAGCATTATCACCTAATCAATCCAACCCAACTCACTCACGCTATCAAACTATACAAGTTCAGTTAGTGCGTGATGTCTAGTTTTGCAGTATACTTCTTCACAAAACCATTTTTGCAAAAAGAAAAGAAAGGAAATTTTTTTTTAAAAAAAAAAAAGACCAGACTAACACATCCACAAAAATAAATAAATAAATAAATAAAATTAAAATTAAAATGGTATTCGCGGCCTCAAGCATTATTGATATTAGAAGCATTATTCTTGTTTCCTATTACTGTTTAGGATTAGGTCTAGAATTGCTATATATATATATATATATATTAGATGTACATATTGTATTGATACACAATTGAATATACAGAGAACATTCAACGGAATGTAGCTTAGGAGAATATTCAAATCAAACCTAACTAGAAAAACAAATCAGGAAGAGACAACTGAGTAAGATCAAAAACTATTTCATGATAGCATTGCTTACCCACATAAGCTTTGTTCCACCTATGATTCTACGCAAATAATGAAACATTTGTAGCAGTTCAAGGAGTTCTGATCATACCCATAGTGTTTTCAACTTTTTAAGTGCCACTAAAATGTAATCCTGTGGAGAATCAAACACTGAACCTATGTATGACTTTTGAAGACAAAAAATTTCGTCACCTTTACATCTTATTGTGACAATTTTTTCCTCATCAATGATCAACATGCGTGACAAATTTATTCGTCAACTAAAGTTATAAATATGGTATTGAACAATTATTTGGTGACGAAAATGAGAATTTTTTGCGACAAAATTTTGTTTTATTGGTGACAAAAAATTATGACTTTTGAAGACGAAAAATTTCGTCATCTTTACATCTTATTGTGACGAAATTATTTCCTCATCAATGATCAACATGCGTGACAAATTTATTCGTCAACCAAAGTTATAAATATGGTACTGAATAACTATTTGGTGATGAAAATGAGAATTTTTGGCGACAAAATATTGTTTTATTGGTGACAAAATTATGACTTTTGAAGACGAAAAATTTCGTCATCTTTACATCTTATTGTGACGAAATTATTTCCTCATCAATGATCAACATGCGTGACAAATTTATTCGTCAACCAAAGTTATAAATATGGTACTGAATAACTATTTGGTGACGAAAATGAGAATTTTTGGCGACAAAATATTGTTTTATTGGTGACAAAATTATGACTTTTGAAGACGAAAAATTTCGTCATCTTTACATCTTATTGTGACGAAATTATTTCCTCATCAATGATCAACATGCGTGACAAATTTATTCGTCAACCAAAGTTATAAATATGGTACTGAATAACTATTTGCTGACGAAAATGAGAATTTTTGGCGACAAAATATTGTTTTATTGGTGACAAAATTATGACTTTTGAAGACGAAAAATTTCGTCATCTTTACATCTTATTGTGACGAAATTATTTCCTCATCAATGATCAACATGCGTGACAAATTTATTCGTCAACCAAAGTTATAAATATGGTACTGAATAACTATTTGCTGACGAAAATGAGAATTTTTGGCGACAAAATATTGTTTTATTGGTGACAAAATTATGACTTTTGAAGACGAAAAATTTCGTCATCTTTACATCTTATTGTGACGCATGTAATACTTTTGTAATGAAATACTCTGATAAATAGATGAATGTGGACTTTTATGTATCAATGCATGTCTCGATATGGATGGGTTTAATGTTGTTATTTTTTGAGGGCGTTACAGCTTGGTATCAGAGCGTACCGGGTTCGAATACTTTGGGTACGTGGGAAGTGATTAGTATCACAATGGGTTTGTCTCGCTTGTTAGAGACTTAGACGTAATGTTGCGTACTTTTGTGATAACATGTTTATGTGATTATTTGGGTATGGAATGTAGTTTCTTGGATGTTGATTGGATCCTTGGGTTTCTGGGAGTCCTGCTGGAAAGGCACTTGATCAATGTTGTTTCTGACCGGAACTCTAGTAACACCTCGGGACTATCATTATCCAGAAATGAAATTCGTAAGTGCGTATGTGTTTATGTGCTTACGTACAGTTGTCCATGTGTTAGGATGTAAATGTTTAGCTTCGGCACATGTATGAGTGTGCTAACGTGTCTCCGTTACTTTTACTAGGATGCCTAGGCGAGGAAGTTGTGATTTCCCTCCTTCCGCTCGGGAAGAACTGCGGAAACAGTTTGTGGAGTTACGCCAAGGTACTACACCTTTGGTGCAGTTCGAAAGATGGTTTGCTAATCTGTCGAGGTTTGCTCCAGAATTGGTGGAGACGGAGGACTTACGTTGTTTCGAGTTTGAGAGTAAGCTGCGTAACGACATCCGTGTAAGGATAGCGGGGTCCTGGCCTAAAAGGTATAGTGTGCTTGTTGAGGCAGCTGCCCATGTAGAGGCTGCGGTGCTAGCAATGGGGCAGAGTGGGGAGGAAGCCATCTCGGCGACTCCTGTGACTCAGGGTGTTGGTAGGCCTTTTAAGAGGCAAAGGGTTTTAAACCCGCAACAGGGAGGTCAGGCTAGAACAACCCTTCCAATATCGAATTTGGGTTCGGGAGAAAATAAGCAGAGGGGCATCATTTGTTTCAGATGTGGTCTGCTGGGCCACAAGGTTTCGGTTTGCCCACAGAAGAAGGGGGCATGGTTAGCAGTTCAACCAGTAGTTGTACCACCAGGATCATCTAACCAGCCTAGTTTTGGACCGATCAAATCCTCAGTGGGAAGGCAGTTGTTGGGGTCTTCATCAGCCCAGATTTTGAACCAGTCTCGTGCTCAGGCACCGCCTACTTGTTGGACGTGTAATCAGCCGGGTCATATTCGACGTTTTTGTACTCACCCGGGGGATTCTTTAGGGGTTTCGCAACCCAGCCAGGCTCAGTTTCATTCGACTGGGCAGGAACGGTATCGTTTTGGGGGACTAGCAGGCCAGATTGCGAGGGCCTCAGTAGAGTCGAGTTCCCAAGCCCCAGTTGGGGAAGTTTGAAGTTGTTCCAGGTGTGGACAGAGGGGGCACGTCAGTAGTTCTTGTCCGTGGTTAGTAAGCTCGTAGGTTGTCTTGTGTTTGGGGATGACCAATTTTGGCAGTCCAGCGAGGGACGGCAGTGGTGGTAAAACCGAGGGGTTGGTCTTGTTTTGACTAATCCGTTTTGTAATCGGTGGATTATTGTTTTGTGATCATTTGGTTCCGCTATGTAACCAATGTGTTTTGGGAATGTTGAAACATCTAAACTGTTTGTTTATCTATACATATATACATATATGCTTTGTTTGTTAATTTCCCTGGAGTGGGTGAATTGGAGCATGTCGTAGCTCCAAAGTTTTATTAATGTCTAAAGTTGCTGTAAAACAAAAAAAAAAAAAAATTTATGCGTGTGACTTGATTTGGGAAGGATGAGGGCTGAGGAGCCATGTTTTCAAAATTTGAAAGAACCACCGAGGGGTGCGTGTCCTAGCCAAGGCAATATTGGAGCGAGAACTGTTTTACTTGCCGAGTGTGTGGAATTTCATGGGTATTACCCATTTAAAATTTTGTGCGTCCCTACAGTTGCTTCACAGGTAATATAGTTGCTCCATTTCTACATCTCTCCAATCCGCACACACTTGCAATCTTAAAAAATGGAGAATTTACACTGTTTGGTGTGAGGAGTGGGAGAGAGCCTTTAAATGGGGGTAGTTTTGAAAGAAAATAAAAAATGGAAATTCAGGTACAACTTCTAGCACTTCCCAAATTGTTATGGCATTTTTTTAATATGGTTTAGTTTTGATTTGAGTTTGTATGCTAATCAAACAACATATCTATGCTTCTCATGGAACCTATTATTTCAGAAAAGTGTATTTGCAGTTGGCATGATCTGCTGTGAAGAAGAAGGCCGTTTGAAGGAGAAGCCTGTCTTGCTGCAAAGCAGGTAAAGACTATTGGTCTTGTCCTTTAGTTTCCCCCTAGGCGTTCATCAGGAATGTGTTGTGTTGCCTCTTGCATTAATTGTGTAAGCTTTACAATTTTGATTCTCATCCCACATGAGGCTAAACATGGTATTATACATGAAGTTAACTTCTGAAATTTCATATCATGAAAAAAGAACCTTAACTTCCCACTTTGAGCATGCAACCCATATTGGGATTTGGGCAGATAGTCTCATAGCTGTATTTATTACTTGAAATCCAAAGCCATTAGTTGGAATATGCTATGTCTAATATTAGGTTAAGTTTGGTTATACTTTTAAGCTCTTTATACTAATATTGCATTTGTCCATGTCTTTGGAATCTTAAATAGATTATTGCAGCAGGTCCTTTTACCACAATTGACAACTTGTTCTTTGAACCTCTAACTGAGCTGCTAGCATATGCACGAAGAAAGCAGCCTCAGTTGCTTTTATTGGTAAGACCCACCATTTTTCATATCAATAATATTGTAAATTGTAATCTGCATTGATAAATGACTCGAGAAGTTGGATTTTTTATGTTTGGCAGCTGGGACCATTTATTGATTCTGAACATCCAGAGATTAAGAAAGGAGTAGTAAACAGGACCTTTGATGAAATATTTCGTCTTGAAATCCTTGGAAGGGTATCTATCTGTTAGGTTTTTATTCTTGGCAATCCCGGTTGACAAAACTCTTTTCAGTTGAACTTGCTTTCACATTTTTTATTTCAGTGAGGCTTTGAGTTTTTAGATGTGAATCCAACCCGAATTATGCCTATCCAATCCAAATTATGCCTTGCAGAGAAGGTTGTGATGTTAACACTTTCAAGATTGCCACTTCGCTGATTATGACGGGGATCGAGCTGCCCGGTCAGCTCGCGGGGGTCAAGGGGGCAGCGCCCCTTGGCGGGTCTGGGGCAACGCCACGGCGGGGTCGAGGGGCAGCGCCCCCAAAGCAAAATGAAAAATTGCATTCGAAGTTGCATGTCCGCCCTTACTCGCTCGAGTGAAGAAGTCCTCGCTCGAGCGAAGGCTGCGTCTGGCAAAAAACCTGAGAATGACGAATGTGCGCTCGAGCGCAGGTTTCGTGGCTTGAGCGAAGCCACTTATGGAAAACACGCGTTTTTGGTTCCTCGCTCGAGAGAGAGAGTCTTCGCTCGAGTGAGCTTCACAGTCCCAGATTTCTATAAGTATCTGTTTTAGTCCAAAACTAGGATTACTTCTCCAGATCTTCTTTTTGAATATTAAGGTTTATGTCTGGGGATATTTTGCTAGTTTTCTTTGATGTTTTGATTGTGTATTCAACTCATGGTTTAAAGAGTATACATCAAAGGATTATTTGTTTGTTCTACACAAAAGAGAGAGTTGTTCTTTGGTGGATTCTGAAGAATTCGAGCCTGAAGCTTTGGTGGATTCTGGAGTGGCTCATCGTCAAGACAATTCCGAGGTGAAGACGGGGTTGGAAGAGACAGATAGGGGTTGGTTCAATTCGGGCGTGCATTTCTATAATTCCTTTATATCTTCTTAGTGAATTTTTTTGTGGCTGTTGCCCGTGGTTTTCTTTCACAATTGGAGGTGTCCAATTGTGGGTTTTCCACATAAAGTCATTGTGTCGATTTGTCTTGATTGTTTGATTGGGATTGTTGTTTACTGCTTAAAATTGATGCATAATCACAAATCAACATCTAGGGGGGGTTCTAGATTTTTCACTATCTATCTACACTAGATAATTTTGCCTGTTTGAGAAGATTTTATCTTTCTTTTTTTTTAAATTTATTTCCCCCAATGGTTTGCAGCTTCAAGATTATGTGGAATATATGGGTTCTGCTGCACGTGTGATTCTCGTGCCATCTATACGGGACGCAAATCATGACTTTGTTTTCCCTCAGGTAATTTTATTGCTAAATTAATTTATATAGTATCTCTATTTTCCCAGTTAGTTAACAAAAAATTGAGATCACAATTAAGTGTTAATTTCTAGATTAATGTTGTTTGGCTTTGATTCTGCAGCCTGCTTTTGATATTCAGCAAGCCGTCTCAAACATCAGGTATGCATGATTCTACTAGACTAGGGGAAGCCCACCTTTGAACTGGTTGCTAGATCCAGATCATTTTTCAGTTTGCAGTCTCGCAAGTCACAATTTTAAAGAAATTACATTGTCTTACCAGATGACCAGTCTTACAAATCCGGGGATTTTCAGTGCAAATGAGGTAATCACTAATTGCCTTTATTCTTAAATTATGATTGTTCGTACTTCTAGACATTAATTTCATGTTTGTGTGTGCTCCTCCAAATTCTTCAAAATGCATTGATGAGATGAAATTTTTTTGCATTATATTAATCTCATGCACTACAAAAAAGCTTGAAACCATACTTTTGGAGTAAAAACACACTAATTAGCAGAATGCCCTATACTTGAGGTGAATACAATTTGGAAGAGCAACATGGAATTAGAAAGAATCTAGTTAAGGTTCTCCAAAGGGAATATGTTTAATCTTATTATTTTAAATTCTATAACAATGGTTTGAAGCATTTTGAGTTAAAACACATTGTACAAGTCTCTAATTAGTTTTCAATCACATTTTGGGTTTTCAGATCAAGGTAGGTTGCTGCACTGTGGATATTCTCAAACAACTTAGCGGAGAGGAGATCTCACGGAATCCATCTGGGAGATCCAAGCAGGGCATGAATAGACTTGCAAATCATCTACTTAGCCAGCACAGGCATGTTTTTATTATTCTCTTAATGGAAATTTATGTACTTGATATTAAAGAAGTTTAAACAATTGAAAAGACGGTTACTTTTTGAAAATAGCTTCTATCCTCTATACCCACCAATGGAAGATACTCCGGTGGATTTTTCTCTCGCTCCAGAGGCTCTTCAGATCCCTTGTAATCCAGATATCCTAATCCTATCCTCTGACTTGGCTCATTTTATAGCGATCCCGGGTTTACCCTTGTTGTACAGTGATCCGGACATGTGTCCGTGGATGATAGTAGTTGATTATTACCTGGTGTGCATCCTTTCTTACTTTGTATTTGAGTTATAGGATGTATTGGGCAGATTTGTTACGGGTTGGTTGAGATGAGAAACCAAAACTAGTTGCCCAGATTTTGACCTGTTCGCTCGAGCGGGGGTTTTGGCGCTCGAGCGGGAGTTTCACCCATCTAGTTTTCCCTGTGCAGTGTTCGACGCTCGAGCGTGGGATTGGCCGCTCGAGCGAGTTTGTGTGAGTTCCGCTCGAGCGGGGAGTTGGAAGCTCGAGCGGAAGACCTGTCTGCAAAAGTTCTGGGAGTGTGTATCCGCCGCTCGAGTGGGATTGTTGACGCTCGAGCGGGAATCTGTGAGTGACGCTCGAGCGGGGAGTTTGATGCTCGAGCGGGACGACTTTTATATAAAGCCGAGATCCGATTTTTTTGTTCACTTTTCAACATCTTTTCTCTCTCTTACTTTTCCAAAAAGCTATTTTGAGAGTTCCTCACACTAGAACCCTAACTTCTCTCTTAGAATTGATCTAGTAGGAGTTGTTTTCTCACCTTGGGCCTTTACAAAAGTTGTGTTGATCGTCGAGAGCTACCTTTTAATCTGAAAATTTCGGGATTTGGAGCACGTTGGGTTTTGTCATCTTCTCCCTTGGGGCTCCGGATTTGAGGTAGGGATATCCTACTCCTCTCTATGGATTTTGTCTTTAAATTTTAGTATTTTGAGATGTTGGGGTTGGTTTGGTAATTTTGTGAAAGTTTGGGGCGACATAGTGAGATTGCACGGGGTCCCAGTGACGATCGTCTCAGATAGAGATCCTCGTTTTACTGCTAGGTTGTGGCAGAGTTTGCAGAGTGCCTTGGGCACTAAGTTGACCCTCA